CAAAAAGAAAGTTGTTTAAAGATGATATTTATGCAAATGTTCTCTCCATAGAATTACATCTGTAATGGCCTATCTGTCTGTGTAAATCAGTTTTGAGCCATACTTTATTAATTTATTCATTAGAATAGTTTATATGGCCCCTCTTATTATACAAAATAATCCTAGACAACTAAGAAACAGGTATACAAATAATAAAATAGATAAAATTATTTAAAAGACCTCTGAACATACCAGCAATGTCAAAAATGCTGGTCTCACCTCATTATCCTGGCCCAAAACTAGCCAAGTCTTAACAGCTTTCTAAAAGAAAAAATAACATGCATGCAAGCGCATACACACATCCACACACTCCTCCTCACACACATGCATCTCAAGGGAGAGGCTGTTCTATATGGTTGGAGCAAGCTTGGCAAGTGCTCACTTCTTCACTCTTATCAACATGTAATAGAAGGACAGCATTTAAGAGAGGGGACCTGGAGTGAGTCCACCCTATCTAATACAGAAGAATCTCTTGTAAACCAATCTCCAGGTATGTTATCATTAAAAAAAATTAATGTTAAATGTACTTGTCAGCTTGTCAGTGGAAATATCTGTGATAGCCAAGAGGCTAAACCTGACTGAAACACAGAATTTAGTCACAGCAACACAGCTTTCATGAAGTATTTGGTATGTCTGTTATATATATATATATGATTTTTTAGTATAATAGCAAAATCTAATGCAAACTAAACTTAAAGAAAAGAGAAGAGAAATAAGTAAGGAAAAAGAAAATAAAGAGAGAATAAAGAAATAAAAATATAATAAAGAGAAAAGAAATATACAAAGAAGTGACTTCCAACCTTCATTCCAAACAGTATAAACAAAGTTAGTGACTCTTTATCCCCCCTTCACAATTACCCCTTCATCCCATATCCCATCCCTTATCTATGGACAAATCCATAAAGCATAATATTTATGGTATCAGCAGAAAATCTATAAATGATTGCCAGAGTATAACATAACATGTTAAACCAACTTTATATTCCTTCTTTTTAATGGTAGTACTTGACTTACAACCACAATTGGGACCAAAACATCCATCGTTATGTGATGGAGTTGTTGAGTCATAATTTTACAATCTTTTTTGCTGCTGTCATTAAGTGAATCACCACAACTGTTAAGTTAGTCATGCAGTCATTAAACAAATCCAGCCTCCCATTAACGTTTCTTGTCCAGAGCCCATTGGGAAAGTAATAAATGTCAACCACATGATCCCAGCACACTGTAACCATCGTAAATACATACCAGTTGCCAATTACATGAATTTTGACCATGTGACTACAGGAATGTTGTGAAGGTCATAGGTGCAAGGACTGGTAATAAGTCACTTTTTCCAGCTGTTGTAACAGTCATTATATGAATGGTTGAGGGTTGAGGACTACCTGTATTTTTACAGACTTAATCTTTAGTTCATTCAAATATTGTGATAGAATTTTTTTCTTTTCATTTCTTCTTTGTCCTATTGCACTGAGGCTTTAACAAGATTCTTTTATAAATATAATAGGAAAAATTGTCTAGGATGCTCCTTTGGATTATCATTTATATTCCCCTTTTAAAACTTCAGCCAATTTCTTTTATAGATCCAGTGTCAGCCGGCCAGCCAGCCAGCCAGCCAGCCAGCCAGCTAGTCAGTCAAATGTCTATTACAATGAAAGACCACTACAAGCTGAATCATTTTTTGAGCTGTTAGTTGTAAATCTACTTTTGAAACCATCTTTATCTTGTCAGATAAAATTTGTTCTACAATTCTCATTTTTTCAATAACATCTACAGTATGATTATAGAAGCAGATAACATTATTGACATTGTTAATATTGTGGTTACTAATTCCTGACTGCATTATTCCAAAGTCTCTTTTAGCATTTTCATTGTAAAACTGTTTCATTGAAAAAATCCATTGTAAACATGAATGTTATAGGTTGTATCTTTTTTCTTTACTTAAAATTTTTAATCCCCAATAACATCCAGTTTTCAAATCATGAAATTGCTTTTCTCTGTTGTATCTTCCAAAAACTTAAACAGATTTCCTCCTACTGAGTTCTTTATAACTAATTCCAAAATCGTATTATAAAAGTTTCAATATTCTAAATTTATCTGGACTCTTAGTTCATTTATAACATTCTATGATCAAAATTTTATTTACACTTTTGCAATTTATTTCAGATTCTTTTAAGTTCTTAAGCTTATAATTATTATTTTTGTTCAGAACTGAAGATAAACCCACTCAATGAATAGTTTTCAATTTTATTGTTCTGGGAGTCTTTAATAGCTTTAAAATAATAGACAATTTTGAAAGTGATTAGAAAGTGTGATTTACAAATGTAGTGTCCTTTAAATTAAAAGGCTCCACTGTAGTTGCAAGCAAGAAGATTAACCCCTTTATTTCCCAGTGTTCAAATTTGTGGAAAACCACTGTCCTATAGTCTCCTTGTAAGAAACACCTATCCAGAGTACATGTGGTCAATCTTCCATCCTCTCCTATCAGGAGAGCTTCCAAGGAACAAATTTATTCACTGGTTCCTTGATTTTTGTTGTGTTTGTTGGCTCTTTTTTCAGAATCATCTTCAATTTACCATACATCACTTGGAAATCGGATTTGGAGAGCTGATCTTGAATGCTGAGATCAATATTCAATAGAGATGAATATTGAACTGGTTTAATTAAACATGTGGTCAGTGACCAGACTTGGTCAGTGACCATCAACCTGTTTTAATGAATATGGAGTACTGGGTTATATTAGACAGATTTCTCTGCTCATTGAAGGTCATGAAAATGGGCATAGTGGTTTTATTTCTGGATAGGCAGATTTAAATTGCTTAGTAGTCACAAACCATGATCCTCAACTACCGGTACTAAACTAATCACTATCTACAATGAATCTAGCGATAATGCAGACAGTAACATGCCAGTCATGGTATGAGTATTAAAAAAAGGAATTGGGTAGATGAAGGATGAAAAACTAGGAGTGTTATTCAAGACACCCTAATATTTAAAGGAAGCACTAGTAAATTACCAAGAAGTTGCCAAAAAATACCTTGTTGTAATACTTTGTACTGTTTTCCACCATACTATAATTGTGCATCAGCTGCCCCCCAAAGCATAAGCAATGATAGAGTTCTATCTTGTAAAAATAAAGCAAAATTTGTCTTCTGTCTTCATTGTGAATCCTTTATGGGAGACTATGAGAAAAACCCTAGGATGTATTATACATTTGAACAAAAATATATGAAAACATAGAAGACAAAAATTCTCTGAATTATAGCTTAACGGGTGACTGTACCCAAACATATATAATGCTCTCCAGAAAATGTGAAAAGGATTTGCCACTGCCTTCTCTAGGGATAATTTCTTGACTTTCTAGTCTAAGCTACAACCCCAGGATTTTTCTCATAGTCTCCCATCTAGGTATTAATCAAATGTTACCCTGCCTAGTTTTTTTAAGATAAGCCAAAGACATTTGCTACTGCCATCTACTGAATCCTGAATTAAAAAGAGTCTTCATAAGGCATGGTTATTCTGTGTATAATTTGTATTCTTCTAGTTTTATTGCTCCTTCAATTCTTGCAGCCAACCATCCATTGCACAGCTTGATGACAGATCACTGGTACTTATCAATATAGTTAGTACATACAGTAGGACAGCAGCACCACTATCTGTCCATTATTATGCAATGCTCATAACTATTGGTATGTTTTATTTCAAAAAAGGCTCCCAAATTATGTGTAGCATCCAAATGTAACTTTTTAAAGCAAACAAAAGAAGGCATGAAAGTGTTCAAATTAAATGTTACCTATACAAACAGGTTCATATTCTACTCTATTTGAAATAAATATGTACTGTAAGCTTGACTAATTTCCACAAAATTAAAATAATTCTTTCTCATACCTTGGTGAAAGAGACTTAAGATTAGCCCACATATTAAAGATCAATTCTCAAACAGCATGGAAAATTGCCATCCTATCTGGTGCTAGAAATTGAGATTTTCAGATTTTAAAAAGTTTAAAAAATCAGTTACATGTATACTATAAAAGTCCATTTTTCTAATTGAGAGTAGGATAAAAGGACTTATTCGTTCTTTTGAGTCTTTCAAAGTTGAATGTTATGTGACATGATTTTAAGCCTTTGAGTCAATTATAAAATTCTTTTAGAAGTAATTATTTATATCTATTCAGATGTTCAAGTGTGATAATATTGTTATGAGATAAAGTACAATATAATTTATCTAATTTACAATGGAATGAGGAATTCTGGGAGATAGCAGGGCCACATATCTTATTTTTGTTTTTTTCTAGTTACATTGCAGAGAAAAGGTAAAAGCTAACATAAAAAGTATATTATATTAAGTATAAAATGCCAAGTAGATAAGCACAAAGGGAAAGCATTGTAAGTACTGGGATAATTGTGGCCCACAAGCAAGAATATTGTGTAACTTGAATTCTACCGTAGAGAAGGTCGTTTCTGATAGTCATTTACCTAAGTGCATTGGACCACCAAAGATGAATGAAAGAGTTAGTTAGGCATGTTGGGAGGGGATATTTAAGAATCAGTACTTGGATCTCCAGATAATACCAGTTCTTTGAACTAGCCCTAGAAAAGACTGGGAGCCAGCCACTGCAGTTTATGAAGTTCTAGCATTTTAAAATATACTGATCAATCTAAATTAGTAATCTAATAGCCTTAGTTTAGCTTATTGTAATTTTCAAATTATTTTTAATAATACAATACATTAAAGAAATACCAAGAGATTATAAGGATAAATAATGCTGTCTGTCTGTCTGTCTGTCTGTCTGTCTGTCTGTCTGTCTGTCTGTCTGTCTGTCTGTCTGTCTGTCTGTCTGTCTGTCTGTCTGTCGGTATCTATCTATCTATCTATCTATCTATCTATCTATCTATCTATCTATCTATCTATCTATCTATCTATCTATCTATCTATCTATCTATCTATCATCTATCTATCTTACCTTCACCACTCCATTTTCATGCATAGTAATGCAATTGTTGGGATCCTCTGACAGTTGATACAGTGCTTGTGCAGTAGCTCGATGAACCTCCGGATCACTTGATTTCAGGTAACGTACCAAAGGGGCAACAGCTTTGGTATCTCCAAAACCAATCCTGTTACTTCCCCACATGCAGCAGCGAGAAATGGCATCAGCTAAATGCCGTCTTAATTTGTCATTGTTCTAAACCAAGAGGAAAAATAAGTTATAATAAAAATGCAACCCGTGATGTCTTAATGGGAGACACTTCACATAACTGCAACTATTAAAATGAAAAAAACTTAAAAAGAAAAAGGGTTGGTTTTTTTGTTCTCAATACTTTATTGGTTATTAACATCAGTTTTATATATATATATATATATATATATATATATATATATATATATATATATATATATATATATATATATATATATATATATATATATATATATATATGACCTCTGAAAAATTATATTTTTATCAGAACATGCAGATTCTGAACTAACATTTTATTTTTAAACTGCACAAGAAAAGTAAAAAATGACATCATACAGCGTTTTCCAGAATATTAGCAACAAGAACAAAGTTTTACTTACTGTATTTGCTAATTTGGATAATAAAGGAACAACACCATGATCTGTTATAACAGCTAAATTCTCTTCATCTTTTGCTATGTTAGTGATAGCAGCACACACACTTGCCAAAACTTCTTTATTTTCAGATTTTAAAAGATTAACAATTAATTCCAAACCACCAACAAATGAACGAACCATTTCACCAGCATCCTAAGTAAAAAGCAAGACAAATTATAAAATTTTATTTCTGTGAGCAATTTTCAAAATTATAACTAGATCTCAGCAAATAGGGATGATAGAAATATCTTCGTAGATGACCAGGTTCTTCTAGCATCATGGCAGAAATCATTACTTTCTACCCTCATAAGTATAGTAGCTCAATGTACTTCACAATCACACCTCTGGATTGCATGTGATTTGTGAGACCAGATCATTACCAGCTACTGCTTTTCAAATGAACATACCATGAAAAACATACTTATTTGCCAAAATTCTAAAGTGTTGTATCTCTTTCATGTTTCAGAATCATAATTTTACATCTCATATTAGTCTGAACTCTTATAAACTAAATGCTGCTTTGAAAAGGTACACTATTTATAAACATTATACCCTTACAGATAAAAGCATACCAAAAAAAATCAGTAGTATTTTCCATTTGGAGCATCTTAGAAAGCTTAAGATGTCAAAGCCAATTTATCAACTCTAGTTGCCTTTGCCCAAAAATGTGATGGTGTGACTGTGCAAATAAACCTGAGTTACCAAGAATCCTCTGTGGACTGTGATTCCTTCTGGAGAACCTGTCTTTGTCCAATTCCACTGCCTACCATTTTAAAGGAAACCATTTTAAAGTGGATAGGAAAAAGAGAAAATTTAGTATGTCTTTTCTGCATTTCATAAAACACTGTTATATAAGAAAATGAGCTTATAATATAAAGTAAGTAATTAATATGTGAGCCAAGCATCTTGGAAAAGACTATATACACATCTGAGGAATGTAATTCTGAAGCAATATTTTGTTAGTCCAGTCTGATGCCATACAAAATGAGTTCTATAATGAAGGTTAATATTGTATACCTGTAAAAACTTCACCATTATGAAATATGAATACATATAATTTAATACTAATGGAAACATTATGGTAAATATTTTATGTAAAATTATAGGGAAATATTTTAAGTTTCTTTAAGATTTAGTACAGTTGCCACAGATCAGAACAACACATTTTCATTCTCTTGTCCTTAAAAATAGTATTGTTGGGTAACAACAGCTAAAAAGGAATATATTAACGTAGTTCATTCATTGTCTGTGTTATAGCTTGCAAAACTAAAGCCGATTTTGCTTAGAAAAGGCTCAAGACAGAGTTAATCTGACATATATATTTCTCATCTTTTTATCATTGGTTCAATTTATCCTATATTTATTTTAGTTATTTCTATATATTCTAAGTCCCTGGAACAGCTTAGAATTTCATTTTTAAGTAAACCAATATTCTCTTTCACTATAAGCCTGAATTAAAAGATTTCTCAATTAACAAGGCAAGAAGGCTATTACCATACGATCAGTCAAGATCCTCAGTTTACAGCCTTTAATTTATTAAATTTAACTATTGTTTTAAAGCATCTTTTTTAATGTTTTAAAATAAAAATATTTTTTCTATTACTTTCATATACTAAGAATCAATTGAGACATTTATTTCAGTCCCCAAATAATTTATTTTGAACTAATTTGCCAGCCGTCCATAAATATACAAATTCACCTATTAATATTTTATACCAATAAACTTTAAAATATAGGGTATTTTCAGTATCCCAAATAATATAAATAGGGGTTTTTATGGGATGGTTCTGACAAAAACAGGGAAATTAACACAAAAATATTGGCATAGGAAATACAAAAAACAATTTTACCATAAATATTATGTATAACAACTGTCTAATGTTAGATGAGATTATGTCTAACAATAGTGAGAAGATAAAAAGAGATTTTTGAGGTTAGTTAACATTTTTCAGATAAGAAGAACTGAAGAAGACTTAATCATGGCAAGATGTTACTCTTTAACAACTTAAATTTCAGTCACATGGGGGATAGCAAACAAGGAGAAGAACAAATAATTTGAAAACTCTATCAGAAGAAATATATAAGTGAAGTAAGATAAAGTATATTTATTATATACAATCAGCAGTTATCTGATGGAAGTATAGTTCGCTGAGATTCTAAGAGCCCAGTGAAAGATTAATGTCTTGCTACTGAGTTCCTTCATGAATCACCTTAATAGCTGTTTATTCACAAACAAAAATATAGTACTGGTTGCCCCTAACTTCACTTCGCTTAAAAGCACATATGCTTTTAATAGTTTTAACCACAGAAATGTGTATTTCTTTCATAAGCTTTAGTAATCAGATTACAAATTTATTACATTCTCTATCTGTCAATTACATGTGTTCAGGTGGTCAAATATAGCTCTTCTTACCACAAACTAGATCTTCATTCATAGCTTTATGAAGTATTGAAGATCTATAAAGTTAAAGTTAATCTAACTGACTAACTAACTGTTATGAACTGTATTGTATATGCAGATTGTGATAAATTTCTTTATTTTCTGAAATAAAGGTCTTTGTTTAAAATTCATCATATTGCTATCAACATTCTATGCAATTAAAAGTGCCTGAATCATTTTGGAACCTATCAGTCTTTGTTTGGGATCCACATGGCAACCTTCTTCTAACAAGGTAGACTTTGTAATCCCTGAATGTTTTTTTATGTTTACATTATTCACCACAGGGAATAAAGTAGTATCATGAGTACAAATTGACTTTCCAATATCAACAGAGCTCAGAACACTTTTCACTGCAATTCTTCATAATTATTTGCTTAGATTGGCTAATATACTTCCACTCTGTCACAGCAATTACTTCTACCGTTATGGTTTGTAGCTATTGAATTAACCGGCTAATTAATCTAAATCTACTTCTGTTAAGAAGATTCCGTTGCTCAATACTGCTCTTTAAGTACGCGCACACATGCACATACGCACACACTTAATTCTGATATATACCACTGCAAAAAAACAATAATTAGCACCATGCAGGAACAACATTTGCCATGATGTACAGAAATGCTCTTCCATTGCCCATGCAGTGTGCCTTTTAATTCCTCAATGCACCAATGCAGGCAGCCAAGATACACCTGGATCAGCTTGACTGTGATGAAAGAGGAAAGCTTCCTCATAAATACAAAGTATCATTTATTATAACACTGGCTGTACTCCCTAGCTTGACATTAAGGAAGTGATCCTGTAAATTAATCTTAGCATCCGATAACTTCCACAAGTCAATTCTGCAACTTTTCATGTTTTCTATATAATCCTACATTCAAAGTTTTGAGATCTCTCAATTCAATAATATTGTCTGGGATGATAATAAAATCTTCCAAAGATGGTTCATTTTCAACTATGAATCAAAGAGAATAATCTTCTATATAAATAAAAATGTAAATGTTCATTTGTTCAAAATCTTAAATCTCCAAAAGTTCTTCACCGATTGCTTTGAAATTTTGACACAACGTTGCATTCGAATACGCGCGTGTTTTTATATACCTTTTTTTCCATTTAACCAGACTGAGCCACAGCAACGCATGGCTGGGTACAGCTAGTAATTACATAAAAATTAAAAAGAGGGACAAATGATGACAACTATAGATACACTAACTCTAGTGATTTCCCATAGAGTTATGCAAACATCCTAAATCTTTAAAATATCAAAAAAATTAATAGGGCAATTCTGTTATAATTAAGCCAGTGCAAAAGCAAGCTGTTTTTTTTTAAATTTCTGATGCTGAGAAAGTATATCCCTCCGGTATTGCTAGTATCTTCCTAAAATCTTTACTCCCTGCTGTCTAAGATAGAGTAGGACAGTATTAGAAATGGCAAAATCCTTGTATTAATGCAGAAGCAGCATAGATTTTACTCTCTATTTAGTAGTTGAGGGATATTGGAAAATGTAAACATCATATTCCTTGCTTATTTATCAATTCAGAGCTCTAAAAATAAAGAATATCATACAGAAAAGATGAGGAATACACAAAATACAGAATATACAGAATAACAGGCTATACATTTTTAAGAAAAGGATAAGGAACATGAAATGGATGAATCTGGATTGTGTTGCTATATTTTTGACCCTATTCAACCCAACTGTTGATATTGCTAACCTTAAAGCAAGTTTTTAAAATGATGTCTTTTAAAGAAAAAGTAAATTTAGTCTTTGTTCATCAAGAAAATCAATTCCTCCCTTTCCTTTTTGTACTATCTTGGAGCATTTGACTAGAATTCAGGTTTAGGTTTCAATAGTTCTATAATGTTTGGCACTCAGTGGGCAATGCCTATAGAAAGCAAACTGCATATTCCTGTCTAAGATTAGTGATAATTTCCAGGTAATAAGATAAACAAACCCAGTGATAAATTCCTGTATTTCCCAACAGATATTCTGCAAAGTAAGTCTCTACCTTAAAAGATACAATTTTCATATCTAGCTTCCATTCCCAAATTCTGGACCCTTCTATAAGGCGAGGGCAGTGCTGATACATATTGGTATAAAAGTTATATGTTTTATCTTCAGAAGTTAATGAGCTTCAGAGGAAACATAATAAGGCTAAATTTGCTGTATTTCCTCAGCAAGAACTCCCAATTCATCCCATGTTCAGGGATTTCCACTCTCCTCCTAAGCAAAAGAGCCAGTTTGGTCTAGTGGGTAAGGCACTAGGCTAGAAAGCAGAAGACCATGAGAGCTGGTTGATTTTGACCAGTCATTCTCTCTCTCTGCCCAGCCCACCTCACTGGATTGTTGTTATGGGGAAAATAGGAGGAGGAAGATGTGTTGGATATGTTTGTCACCTTGGGTTGTTTGTAAGAATAATAAAGATAGGATACAAATAAATAAATAAAATCCCATGTACCTTTAACTATTTAATCTTTGCATTTCCTCCGATGGGAGGAGCACATCTGCCCTGCCCTCGGGCGGAGCATCAGCTAGCCACTACATTGGACAGCTGGAGCAAGTGCCCGCCAGCTTATGGAAGTGGGAGAAACATGTAGAGTACCACCCAACAGTGTGTAAACAGCACTGATATTTGGGGAAGAAGCCAACAGGCATTTCAACATACCTCGTCTTTCGTCTTCAGCCTAACTCATTAAACATTACCCTTGTTGACTCTGGCATGGTATTAGTTATATTTTGGCTCCCTTTTCCTAACCTTGTTCAGTTTCCTTTATGTGTATCTGGTTTATATTAATTTCTCATCTTCTTTTGTGTCATCACACCCTCACATTTCCATTCTTCCATCCAATTGATGTTTCACTGTGTCTTTCCATCTCCTATTACTTGGAGGTGGTGCATGTTTTATCAAAATTCTGGTAATTATTCTTATATTAAAGAAGCATATCCAATTCCTTCAAGTGTGTGTGTTTTTGTCTTGCTGCTCATTTCCCTTTTTGTCCTTGCCAAATTTGCTATGCCTTATTTGTATTCTAAATAGATTTCCCCGCCACCCTATATGTTCATTCAGTATATGGGTAAACATGAACAGATGAATAAAAACTAAATAAACTATTTCCTGATTTGGAAGCATATTCTGAATTTGGTAATCACAAACCTTTCAAACTAGAAGTCAGCAAGTTGGTCAAATATTGTTCCTTTAGGGAACGATAAACTTCCTTCTTGTTAAAAATTGTGGTATGAATCAAAATTGGATATTTTGATATCCAGTTTTATTTTCTCAGTGATACAGTCATGGTAGAAACCTAATATAAACTAATAATGTGATCAATGCAAGAGAATGCTTATAGATGTAACACTCTGACCAAGCCATGATCAACAGCTGTATAGACTTACCGGTAACTTCTATTTAGGACATATTAAAGATATAACCAAAGATTTCATTCACATGCAAATCAATTGCCACCCATATAAAATATGTGCAAATCTAAAATATAGTTCAGAGGATTCTTAGAACATATGTGACTAATACTTTATGTCTAATCTATTAAGCAGAATAAAATTTGGACATTATTGCATGTATTATGTAATATGTAATGCAATAAATGTTTAGAGAAAAAAGCTGAGCATCAAAGCACACCCATGTATCTCCAATATTATGCAAAAAGCATAGGAAAAAGTATGTACATATCAAAGTACAAAACAACCTAGATGATACCAATTCATACTTTGGACATATATATTAGCTCTTTCATTCATTCTGTCATATAATTGATCCTATATTTATATATTTCTCACAACGTGCTGATCCATAGAGTGGCTGAGGGTTGGACAAGGCCACACTTGGAATACTACATCTAGTTTTGGTCACCACGATGTAAAAAAAGATGTTGAGAGTCTAGAAATGGTACAGAGAAGAGCAACAAAGATGATTAGGGGACTGGAGGCTAAAACATACAAGGATCGGTTGCTGGAATTGGGTATGTCTAGTTTAATGAAGAGAAGGAGAAGGGATGACATGATAGCAGTCTTCCAATATCTCAGGGAATGCCACAAAGAAGAGGGAGTCAAGCTATTCTCCAAAGCGCCTGAAGGCAGGACAAGAAGCAACGGATGGAAACTGATCAAGGAGAGAAGCAACTTAGAACTAAGGAGAAACTTCCTGACAGTGAGAACAATTAACCAGTGGAACAACCTGCCTCCAGAAGCGGTGAATGCTCCAACACTGGAAGTTTTTAAGAAGATACTGGACAGCCATTTGTCTGAAATAGTATAGGATTTCCTGCCTGAGCAAGAGGTTGGATTAGATTACCTCCAAGGTCCCTTCCAACTTTATTGTTGTTGTTGTTGTTGATATTAAATGGTTGACAACAACATTTCTCCAGAAAATCATCTTCATTCAGTTCTATTATCCTTAATTTTACAGACACACATCTATTTTTCTTTATTCATTTAATTAGCTAATTCATACCCTTTACTTCTTTTATATCCAAGACACGATATTCCATGTGCTTTGATCATCACCAGATGGACCTACAAACCCTAATCTCCACCATCCATCATGACTTTGATTAACTGAGGCTTTCATGTAGTATTTATTAAAATAGTAAAAAATGTAGACTTAATATCCAGTCTTAGTCACACCTGTCCCACATGTAAATTTTCCCACTAAAGTAAGGACAGTACAGGTCAGTTTCAGCACATGTAGCTTAGAACATCATTAATACAGACAAAGCCCAGTTTTAATGCAGATATGTTCACGTTATTCCATGCAAGTTAAAATCCCTAATCTTGGAAGTCAATATGCTATTGTCTGCATCTCACCAACTCAGAGGCACACAGAGTGCACTGACACGGTAATTTCGCAATAAGGTGGGTTAAAAATCTAATGTGAATCTTTAAAGTTTAATTAAGTAGCAAAAGAGATTTTTAGCTGTTTCATCTAATGTAGCTAACATTTTAATATAATTCTAGGGACCCTATGATTAAAAAAACAGTATCTTGGAGAGAGATGAGGAATCAAATTTTTAAAAGGAGAAACCAATATTTCAAAATAAGATAATTAGAGGCAGGGCTTTTTTTCCTCATAGAACGCCCAGAATGGAGTTCCGGCACCTTTTTTGGATGGAACCTTGTAGGGTAGGCAAGGCAAGTTGTATGATGTGTGTGAGTTCCGGCACCTTTTTTTTTTTTTAGAAAAAAAACACTGATTAGAGGTATGACCAAAACACAACAAAATAGAACTCTAACACTGTGATTGTATTCATGTAGCTTAAAGTTGCATCTGCCTTTTTGCAGCAGCCCTATTGTATTACTAACTCATATTCTGTTTGCAGTCACTTCTGTGACATTTATTAGATGTCCTATTACCAAGCAGGTATCTCATATCCTGTATCTGTGCATTGATTTTGTTTCCTAAGTTAAAAATGTTTATTTTTCTGGCAAATTATTATATTATTTCAAAGCCATTTCTGTAATTGAATATTATTCTGAATTTTATATATATATATATTTAGATTATTAGCTATCTTTCCCCTTTTTTAACCATCTACATGTTTGATAAGGATTCATTAAGATAATGAACTAAAATATTGGCAGTGGGTGCTATTAGAACACAAAGACTTGACTCTTGTGATACACTCAGTATTTTAATAACTATTTCCAGTTTGATAAGACACAGCTCACCCTTGCTATGTAGCCAATTAATTGTCATACCATTCAGCCAACATTAAATAACTTGCTAATCAGAATATCATTGATACATTGTCAAATGCCTTGCTAGAAAATAGATAAACTTATTTTTGGGTTGTTTATTGTGTAATTCACAATATTTGGTGATTGTTTAAATTATAATTTTAAAGTATTTATTTACCTTTGCATTTTCAATACAAGGACAAATAGCCCAGGCTGCACTGGCCTGAACACCTGGGTGAGGATTTTTCAACAATGACCATAATAAGCGAACACCATCCAAGCGATCAATTATCCTATCAAAGAGAAATATGGAAGATATTTAACTGAAAAATTAGAAGATATAAAATAAGTGTTTGATTAATTAAATGATATCTTATTTATCCAAGTTCAATTTATTCAATTCAATCATTAAGATCATGGATATTCTTTATGAATGGATTTATTATAATATTTTTTAAATAGAAATAAACTTAATTTTTTATAATTGGATGACTGTATATATATCATTTAGAAATATAATTGTACATATTCAGAAAAATATTTACTTCGTATCTGATGGGTGAGATATACAGTTTCATAATATTTTGCCTTAAAAATGATTCGTCAAGAAAATAAAAATAAAATAAATGGTACGATATAGAAGGACTCTAGTAAACTTTGCAAACAAGCCATGTGACTTTTTAACAAGCTTTATGCAAAGTCAGACCAAAATTCAAACATACTGGTTTCTTTCATATAGCAATAAATACTTTCCAAAACAAATATTTATGCCCAAAAGCTATGTATTTAACTCTATATTGAGTCTATGCTTAATTTATTTAACTTGCTCTATGACATATTTTAAATATCTATGTGCTCACCTAACATTCAGAATGAAAATGGGTCACACTATCACAGTGCACTCTTTGTTGCGTATGAATAACATACAACTTGTTTCTCGTGCATTCCCTAAGACAAGACTAACACTGAATACTCTGTTATAATTGCTTAAACATACTGTAATCAAAGTATCTTCATGTCTAGCTGAAAAATGAATTATCATCAGAGCCATCTTTAAACCATCTGTCTTATGTTTATATATCAATCAGTCTAGGGGATCATAACTTCATATTAAAATCCACAGAGTACTTTAAAATAGAAAGGAAGACCAAACAAAACTTAATATCCTTTACAAACTTAGTTTTGTTCAGGAAGATATGCAAAATTCAAAGCAGATGAGGTGAAGATAAAGAAACTCAAGCACACTTTGATTTATAACCTCATGTTTAATTCTAAAGTTTGTCCATGCCTCTAATTGTGAATACATTATTTTGGAAATAAAATAGAGATTTTACCTATGTGGAAATCAAACAAGAACATCTAATTTCTTTTCATTATGTAAAATGAGTTTGCAAGGAATGAAAAGCACAAAACCAGGCTAGTACATAATCATACAATTATTATGATCCAGCTAGAATGCTTTAGGAAACACAATTTTGTCTAATATAACTGCAGCGTTACTTAAATCAATACAACCTGGTTATATAACTTTGCTTCCAATATCCAGGTAATTTGGAAAAGACTAATATTAATTTGTTGTAGAGGACTAATGTCAATTTCAGACATTACATAATGCAGACAAATGTATACCGCCAGCATAGATAATGCAAAAAAAAAGGTTCGCTTGGAATGTAGAAAATAAAATTTTAGACTAACAAATAAAAAGTTGATAGAAAAAGAATGAAAAGCTATTTAAAAACATGTGATAGAAGGATAAAAAGGAACATTAAAATCTATATAATGAATTCTATTTTCTAGTCCAATATTTCAGATAGCTTGATAATATTTTTCAAACATTTGTATATTTTGTAACATTTACAATCAATACACACGCACATTCAGTAGCATTTAGTTTCAATCTGTTTAATTATCTCTCAAACCATCCTACTTCTAAAACCCGGATCTTAGTTATAGCAGTTTAGAATGAGACAGCCAAGCCTAACAATAATCTGATCAAGATCTCTCAACAAGGCCATGCACGACAGTGGTTTACAGACTTATATGCCTTCTAATCAAAGATTTGCACAATATCAATTGCACCATACTTCTACTTAACAAGGTAAAGATTTACTTTCTTGATTTTAACTGTTTAACACATCTAGTTACAGATTTGAAATATTCTGTTGCTATAGTATTACATTACTCTGAATTTGTCTTCCTTGTTTCCACTATTTTCTATCCACATTTTCTACTTTCATTATCTGTACAAGTTCATTTGCAGTCAACTCTGAACTACAACACCAGCAATTCTGAATAGGATTCGCATCTCACACGGCATCTGCCGGGACTCACTGTATAAATGGGGCATCGTGTAGATCACATTGTGACCTACTATATGCTAAGGGCATGTACTGGACCAGTATCTTGATTTTTTTCATGTAAACAATGCTGCACTTTAATGGTTAGCCGGCCTAGACATTGGTATTAAAACATAGATCCTTTTAGCATTTATATTTTATTGTGTTTTACCAATCAAGGTGAAATGTTAATATATATTAGTAGTCCATATATGATATACCATAGGCTAAATAAATAAAAAATATATATGGTCAGGTCAAGTAAGATATTCAGAATCACTTCTGATGAACCTATTTTTCTGTTTTCTACCAATCCCTTATTGTTTTAACCATAACACTCTCTTTAAAGTATCATTTACTCTCCATCCATTTATCAAGACATGAGTATCCTGGAGGTCTAATTCTTAAGAGTCTCAGTTCACAGAGGCAATGGTAAGAGCCAAAAGACTGAAAGGATAGAACCACAAGCTTGCAATAGAAAGACATTTTACAAATAATGGTTTATGCTGGGCTTGCTATTGAGACCAGCAATAGAATCCAGATGGTTTAGAGTGGAAGCTCAAGTCCTGAATTGTCCAAATGGCCTGTTAGAGATAAACCAGTGCTGGAAATAATATCTTCACCTTGATGCTCTTATGACCAGTTGCCAGAAACATTGACTCATTTTCTAGCCTGATTATTTGGATGCAGACCCAATCTTTGCACTCTGGAGTATGGAACAGTTTTGCTACCTCAGCTGACTCTTGAACTGCTAACTGACCTTGTCTTTGCTAAACTCCTTGGCTCATTGTTGTTTGACTAGGAGGAAAGCTTATTCATTTTCATTTATTTATGTCATAGACCAAATTTTTAAAGAATATTTTCTAGGAACCAGAAAAAAAGAAGAAAGGAAAGGAAAGGAAAGGGAAAAAAATCTTTAGATGGAATCTTGAAGTTTGGATTGTAATATTGAACAGAGTCAAGAATGCCCTCTAAAAGTTAGCAGGTGATAGTGGCTTGTAACCCTGCCAGCTTCCTTACTGATTTTCTACGGAAACTCGCAGGAAAGAGTGCAAATTATGATTACATGATCATGAGGTGCATAGCAACCAGTCCTAAGTGCAAACAGGTTGCCAAGTGCCCAGGTTGCAATCATGTGACTGCAGGAACCCTGCAATGGTCATAACTTTAGACAAGGATCATAAGTCCCTTTGTTCATCATCACTATAATTTTGAACTGTCACCAAATCAATTAAGGGAGAACTACCAGTAATTTGACTGTAAAGCAGGGGTGTCAAACTGCCGGCCGGTTTCATCATACCGGAGCCGCACCCACCCGATTGCCGGCAATGGCGAAAAAGCTCTGATACGTCGTGCAATGTCATGTGATGTCGCGAGTTTGACATGCCTGCTGTAAAGGATCTATCTTTCTGCTGGTTTCATTTGATCTAATTGTATAACCTGAATTCATAGCTATGTTTGCTTTTCCTAAAGAGCTAGAATGATTCCTTAATCATATGTACATGTTTGAGCTCCTAGAACATTATTCACCATAATTAATTTGAGTTCCCTTTGTGTTAGTCCCATTAAGACTAGCTTTGATTACTTTCCACTACTTTTCTATCATCCCCACCTGGGTGAAGTTGTTTCCAACTTCCAAAGAACCATCAATAGTATAATCATCATTCTTCAAGAGAGATTCACTATAACCTCAGAATTATAACTCTCCTGGGTTTTCCCATCCATACTTTGCAAACAAGAAAAACCATTAAACAAGAACAGAAAACATAAAAAACAAACTTTTTGAACAGTAGATATGGAGGCCAGTCATTCTACAAAACACTAATGGTTTCCTAAAATACTGTATATGTAAAACAATCTTGGGTCACAATGATTACTTTTGCAATTGACACTGGAATATGTCTGCTAGACCCTGATTGTTAGTTATGCAATTGCTTTCTAAACTAATACATGAGCTCATTTTAAAAAAATGGATTGCAGGGTTACATTTGTTTTACTGCCAAAGCAACAGTTCTAAGTGAATCTACAGCAAGCCAGTTTTGTGCTTTAATAATTTGATATTGAATATTTCCAGGGTAAACAAGCCTCAGACTTTCTCAAAGACACATGCACACACTCAACATCTGTTTCTTATAGCTATCATCCTTTTTGTTACACCAGTATATGCCAGGACTCTAAAGAAGTCTGACTGCATCTCCTGCCAATTGAGACCACATACACAAATGTAAACACTGTTATACTGAATATATATATTGTGCTCCCTGGTAAGATTACAGGTTTCAAGTCTTACAAAGCACAATCTCATCTTTTGGAAAACCACAGTTCAACTCTTGTAAACTTAAACAAAAAGTTACAAACTGCTTTGATAAATAGTATTGTAAATCTGAGAGTCAATCTACATCTGGTTGGTTTAGCAAATCTTAAATTTTAGTTCATAAGACTTACTGAAAGAGTGGTTTGAAGTTAAATAAAATACAACATAAAATCTTTAAAAATTTTATAATGTGATTGTGCAGGATAAATAAACAAACACAAACACTCTCAAACAAATACATTGGGGAAATTTTTCTAAGGACATGTTTTACATAGTCTAGACCAGCCTCTAGACCAGGGGTTGGCAACCTTAAACACTCAAAGAGCCATTTGGACTCCTTTCCCACAGAAAGAAAACACCAGGAGACACAAACCCTGCTGCTTCCCTCCCCCAGCACTCCACCACTGCTGCTGCTTACCCCCCTCCCACACGGAGCACCCTGCCGCTGCTGCTTACTTCCTCTACCTCCCCCGCAGAGCATGCCCTGCCGCTGCTTTTTCCTCCTACCTCCCCCACGTGGAGCGTGCCCTGCCGCCGCTTTTCCCTTCTACCTCCCCTGTGCGGAGCGCCCTGCCACTGCAGCTTTCCCCAGCAGCAAAGGTGGAGTTTGGGAGGCAGTGGCATAGCCCAGGCATGGCCCAGC